TTAATTTTCTTTCTCCAACGTTTAAATGTATTCGAGTTGAATTCTTTAGTTTCAAATTTTCTCGTCTGACAAATGGAAACACTCCTTGAAAAAAGAGAGTAAATGCCAATTTGTATATGGTTGAAAGATTTGAAGCCATGTCGGTGGAAATTATCCCAGACACAAATTTAGGGAATGTTTTAGCATCGTTTGCGTCGCGGAGCATTTTCGCATCTGCTTTCGTTTATGTTCTTCCACGTAATATTTTTTAAAGAGTAAGAATAAGTTTATATTTTGGTTTAAGACAATTCGAAAAAAATAATAATTAAATACTTAATTCTTATTTTTTCAACAAACATCATACAGATTTTGTTGGATGCTCCAACTTCTCGTCCTGAAATAATCCTTCAGACAATTCCTCCACGGATTTGCTTCGAGATCCTTCTTCCTCATCCGTATTAAATATTTCTATTTTCTTTGTTCCATTCCTCGAGGGTATCAAAACAGGAACATTCTCTTCCTCGATCTTTTCACTAGAATCAGAAGAAAAAGCATTTCTGTCAAAAATGTTTCAACGATTTCCTCGTCTCTCTTATGATCGAGATCTTCGACAGAACCCTCACTTTCATCCGATTTGTTGTCCATGGTATAAGCTCTGTGTGGGATCAATAATCTGACTTCACTCCCAGATTATTGTAATGAAGAATGCCCTCGAGTAAAGGTTTCTTTCGTCCTCGTTTGGTGGTAAAATACAATTTTCTCCATCGCTGTTCACAGAATTCCGGATCTGAGTGTTCCTTTCCACGTCTTATCCTTCGTCCTTCGCATAAGTTTACAATGGGATAAATCGCCAAAAAAATCATGTACTGTACAGTACGAGGCATAGAATGCAAGGAAGGAGCATACGAAAGCCACAACCAATAACAACTGAAAATAAACATCGTCTTTTACAAGTTGAAAATGTTTCTCCAGTTTTCTATCGTAGTTCAGAATTTCGCATTTTCGCCATCCACGTCTCTCTTCGTACGGAATTTTTTCATCAATCGAATGATTTCTATGTAACTTTTATCTTGATACTGAGATGATGATTTATTCTTTTGTTTTGGGTGATGATTCTTTTCTGACTCTCCACGTTTCTTAATTTTATAATTATTCCTATTTCTTCTTTTATTTATCGGCTTTGACTTGGATTTCTGTATGTCAACATCGTGCTCTTTCCATTTCTAATCCTTTCTTGTGGCCTTTGATTTATGATATTAGAAAAAAGAAGCCAAAGCTATATTTTTGGCCAGTTTTAGAGGCATCCCATCCAAATTCCACTCGCCTTCATCCTTATATTCTAAATCGGATTGTATCCTTTATTTTTTGGATTGGCGATACAGAGATCTTTCGTAATCTAATCCATTTTTGGGATACATTTTGGCCCTCGCGTCCAAAATGCATTTCGTCTGCTCCAAATTGTCTTCCGTCTTCTTCGCAAGAGGCGAATTGACAAAATATCGTCATAAACAATAAACATCGCATTCGGTTTAACAAAGAAACTAGAAATTCCCTTGTGAAAGGTCTCCGAGTTGAGAAATTCAAATCAATACACCAATGACTTCACTTATTATCTGAGAACGAGATAAGTAAAATGAAGAATGAAATTTGTCCAATGCTCCAGTAGAAAAAAAGTGAAAACCAAACAAATTGCGCCATATGTTCCCATTAGTGTTGTAACGAATAGTATATTCGGCCTCAGGCCAAATACCGAATATTCGGCCAGAAGCGTGGCCGAATAGCCGAATATTTGGCCAAACTATTCGGCTTGATTAACGCACGTACGAAAATTGGCGCGCAAACCGCATTATGGCAAGGATCCCGCTCTCTATTGGCCCGCTGTCACTATGCTTCGCCAATTGTGTTAATTCTTGGCAGTTGTAGCAGACAGACAAGAGTGTCATGGAAGTATGTGATAAATGATGATATCAAATGTGGATAACAATGAAATGACCTACACGTGTAAATAACGGAAAAAGAACAGAGAAGGACCGCGAAGTAAAATTGTGAAAATAAATATGAAATTGAGTCGATAACATAATTGAACAAGTCAAGGCAGCTTATTGGCACGAAATTCGCGGCCGTCAATGCCAAAAGAATTGTTGTCATAGTCTTCGGAAAGCTAAATGCTTGTAATGTAAGTCACTTAGCGTGCACGGGCAAAAGCCTGGGGCCGTACAGGCTATCAAGGTGTCTTGAATCTGTGAAATCATAACTGTGACTTATATCGACGTCCTATCTGTCTCTTTTCTCCGTTATCACCAGGTTGAGTCATTGTAAAATGGGAACTCTAGGACGGAAAAGTGACGAATTGAAAGTATCGTGAGCGCGTATTATGATGTATGCACAGGTATACGTGGATTAGAGCGATAGAGGAAAGAGAAAGGGAAGAGCAAAGAGGAGCGGTTAAAAAGAAGGATAGGCAGGGTCAGATCCTCAGATGTGCGAGGATTCTCCAACGATAGATGTGTATGTGTGCTTATCTTTGTAATTATAAATTGTGAATACATGTGACTAATATTATTTTCTTTTTTATTTTGTGCATGTTACAAGTTATAAATAAATATAAACAAACAACACTAACTCGATAACATTAAATCTAAATACCAAAATGATTAATTTACTGTGTTTTTGTTATTTATTACTCCTGTTTTTAGGTATTCGGTATTCGGCCGAATAGTGAAAAACAGGCCGAATACCGAATAGTAACTGAATATTCGTTACATCACTAGTTCCCATATATGATATTATTACTAATGTGCTTAAAATACACGGGCAGTCAAAAAAATTACCGGAATTGTGGAATAGCATTGTAATGGTAGGACATAAGAAATGTTTACCCAATCTCCTTCAGAGTGGATCCTTCGCCACACAGATATTGTCTGTAGATCATGCTGTCGTTGTTGGAAGCACCATTAAAAGGCTTCTTTTAAAATATTCAGGAGTTTGGCAGTTGCATTCCATTTCATATCTTTCATAGTTGTGAAATGTGTCCCCTCGAGACCCATTTTCATCGTAAGGAACTGCTAAGTCACTCAGACCGAGACCAGGAAACAAAAATGCAGTTGTCACACTGTTGTCTCTATGACCAAATAAATCACTCTTTATCAAATCGAGGAAAAAGTGATGCTCATTGTATTCTTTCACATGAACAGTATAGAGCATTTGAGTTCAAACACCTGGATGGTGTTCTATGTGCAAGGTTTGCATAGGTGGCAAGATGCAATTCGGAGGAAATGGTGAGATAAGTGGCGAGGAGGATGGTTTCTGCAACATGGTAGCTCACCAAGTCACTCATAGCTTGTTGTGCAGGAATTCCTCATCAACAAAAGTTTCTGTCATTGCCCAACTATTGTACTCGATGGATCTCGCTCCAAATGACTTTTGGCTGTTCCAATATTGAAAATGGATCTTAAGAAGCATTTCACAACTATTGACAAATAAAATGCAACAGCTGAACTTCTGATTATTCCAAAAGCCTTCCAAAGGTGCTTCCAACAATGGCATTGTTAATGGGATAAGAGTGTGTGTATGCCGAAAGATCCTATGTCGACAGTGATTTGGTGTCGCCATATGCCGTATCTTTGATATTTGCGCCATATACCGCAATTCCAGGAACTTTTTGGATGCTTGTACGGTAAGTTGTTAGCAACAAACAACATACAAGGGAGAAATCAATAGCATAACATACAAAATTGAGATCAATGTCCACTTTCAATATTTAAGTTGTATGTTTACATATCTTTTCTCTCCTTCCAGATGATCTCAAACAATAGATCCAAAACATAGTCCGATTCGAAAAGATATAGTTTTGTAGAAATATTGGCATTTGTTTATGACTTTCTAATAATATATAAAAAAATAACAAAGCTATAATAAGTTTTCATAAAAAAATAATTTTATATTAAACATTAATGCGTGCTTAAATGAAGCAATGTCTGAGAGTAAGGGAGTCTAACACCATTGGTTGTATTTGCATTCATTCTGATAAGTATTAGAGAGGTTGTGGCCGACGTTTTCAACGCAAAAACGTGTATGTCGGACGTTCAGCGCCGCCTTCCTGTAAGCCTAAAAGTTTGACATCAGCGTTTGGAACGTCGAGCATGATCCCATTGACATTTCAAGCGCCATTGTCAAACTTCTAGGCAATGTTTCCTCTAATTTTTTTTTAGATGAGCGGAACATATACTTCTCTGAGTAAAAAAAATTTTTTGCTGAGCAATTCTGAACAAAAAATTTTTCTGAGCATATATATATAAAATCTTTTTTTTTCCTATAAAAATTAATATAATTAATTATTATAACGTAGAGATTAAAATTCATTTTAAAACATACTTCCATACAAAATATTATCTTTTGTCAATGATTTAATGTATTTAATCGAAATATACGTAGCAATAATCATGTTGCAGCCAGAGTGAGAAACAAGTAAACAATAATTCAAATCAGTGTGCATGCTCGCCTGCGCGGCAACAATTTGAGCAATGCGCTGCTGTGCAGCTTAGAGAAAACATTGCTTCTATGTTTACAGGAAGGCAGCGCTGAACGTCTGACGTTCATGTTTTTGCGTTGAAAACTTCGGCCGCAACCTCTCTATTAAATGTATTATGATATAAGAGAACTAAATATTGTCGTAACAAATAATAATAATAATTTGCATAAAAGTTGGCCATCTTATTCAAATTTGTGTGTGCAACAGCACATCTCAAATCATTTCATTAAAGGTGTTTCATGAATTATTTTCTAGTGAATGCTCCAGTTCATCTTATAGATGCCAAATTCATCCGATTGTTGCATTATAGAATTTTCGCATCCAACAACGTATCTGATTATCTTCTTCATTAAAATTTTTGATAAAATGAATTTCATAATAGTAAATAGTGTGAATATATATTATTTCTATTTAGATATTAATTAAAATGACATATTGTTGTTATGCCTTCTTATCCAAAGTGATAAATTTAAATAAATGCAAAGCAAACTACTTTAGAACACCATCAGCTTTAATAATGAAATTACAAAAAAATTATTTACAACATATCAATAAAGAAAAATAACAAGACTGGTGAAAGAATGTTTGATTCATACGATTTAAAATGATTCTATTAGATTAAATACATTATCGGAAGACTCAAAGTCGTGTCTGATGCACCTTTTCTTCTATAAATTTGTTGCTTGCATAATAATAATTTTCTATAAAAGAATTAAAGGAATCGACTGACGGCAAGATTTGGATTAAAGTTTGTAAGAAAAGCATAGAACACACAAATTAGTTTGCAACTATTATGTGGATATTTCTGCATAATCTAGAAAATTTATAATTCGTATTGCTACAAATTGATTGAGTTAAAAATCTATGGTAATCCTATCGTCCTGGAAGTATTACCCTTTTATTATGCAAAACATGGGTTCAACGGTTATGAAACACTTTCAAAAAAATTGAATTACAATTTTATCAAATATATAATAAGTTAATTAATAATAAAGCAAGATGCATATCAAACTAATACTTATTGCATTGAAACGGGCAATTAGAAAAATTCTAATGTGTGAGATGATTAAAAGTCACAATTTTTCACTTCATGAGTTTTTGAGGTGTATAAATGGAAGGTTAATTGAGATAAATGTATTAAAATTGTATAAATAACATTGTTAAATCAATCATTGTGGATAATTGTTTAATACAGAGAAAAGGAATGGAATGATAGGATTTTATAATAAACAGATTTATAATTTATGGGATGCCCGTGATGTTTTAATGTAAAAATACACTTCTAAAATAAAAAAAGGAATGTTGAGCAAGACAAGGAAGTGTAAGTTCTGTTATACTACAACCTATACTTTAGAACAATACACAATATTTGGAGTAGCGACAAACTGTTAAAGGATCAAAAAATTAAATCTGTATTGAACACACACAAAATAGAGATAAATATATAAAATAATTCGTATATATATATAAAAAAAGAAAAAAATGCTGGTTGCCATGCGGTTTTACTAAACATTTCATAAATACTCAAGCATGTATAATTGGGCACATCTGTGTGGCAATATTAAGACCTAACGTACCACTGAACTTCTACACATTTTTAAATGCTAATTCCAATCTTTGGTGCATGATCGATACATATATACACAAGATGGCTAGTATGAATTCTTCTCGGTCGTAAAACGTTACTCACATATGTTTTTGATCGTACTATTTGGAACTATTAAGAATTTGTATGGCAGGACGATTCTCGTTATTAATCACACATACAGGTTACAGCGGTTCTCGTAATGGCACATTTCCTTCTTTTACATAATAGTAGACCGTCAACAGTCTTTCAGGAGTACAGACTCATCAGAGAATTATTATTATTATTATTATTCCAAATTGAACAAATTATTTTCTTCTGAAAAATTAAAATCAAATGTTAGTGAAATGTATTTTAATGTAATGAGAAAAATTATGTAAAAATATTAACTTTTAAAACACTGAAAAACTTTAATAGTAAAATTCAAGGGGGGGCTTATTTTTAGTAATTTATAATTTGAACCTGTTTTATTAAAAATTTTATATTTATGTAAATCCACCTCTACACACTTGGTATTTGCCAAAGTGTTTGTCATGTGGCGAGCACATAATTATTTGCCAAGCATTGTTTTATTGTGAGAATTACAAATGTTTGTCTAAGATTCATCCTCTTTGATTCAACACAATATACTGACATGGAGAGGGAAACTAAATACCGAATATTTGTGGAGCAAAGTTGCAAGTAAATCATACTACTCAGTATTGGCCAAATGTTTGCTCAGCATTCAGCAAATTCCAAATGTGTAGAGTCTCCTTAATGCAGCAATTCAAAAATAATGCACAGGAGATAAGTTCTAGTAGTAAATTTGATGTTAAGTTAAACTGATGGATATTTTTACAAAATTTCAAATAGTGATGATAATTTTTGATTTCCATCTTTCACTTTATTTATTTATAAATAGAACTTAAATAAATACAAATTTAAAATATATAACATTAAATATACATCACATAGTATTTTTTTTTAATCATAATTGCAAAAATTTTGCATTTTGAGTTGGAAAATTGTTAAACTAACATTCTATGCTCCAATGTCTGCTTGCAAAATCATTTACTTAACTATCATCACCTCTTTACTTACAAACACCAAACACTTGCTGGGCTTACCATTAATTTAATATTCAAATGCTTTCAGCCTATTTTTAATAGGCCATCCTCAGGAAATTACTGTTCTACAATTGAACACAAAGCTTTTCGAACATTCTTTAAATTTAAAATTTTTTAACATATTTTTTAAATCTTTACATTAAACAGTAAATATTAAATAGTTAAGAAAATCCTAACATATTATATAATTAAACAAAATGTAAAAAATAAACTAATATAAAGAAAATATACATTAAACCAGTTAAAATACAACTGCCATAAGTTTAAGGATTTTTAATTCCCATTTCCTTTTCTATCACGTATTTCCAGGCCATTGGAAGAGAATTAGTGACCTTAGCATTTAAGCAATTGTTATTTACTTTACTCTTGTATATCTCCATTTTCTCCATACCTAACGCAATCGTCGGCATGTGATGAAAGCAACAGTTGAGAAAAAAATATATTTTGATACTGTGAAGTATTTATTTCTATACCATTTTGTTAATTATTAATACACATAACAATTTCAAATAACACAAAGTTGGTTATGATAACAATTGAATTACAGTGGTGCCTCGTATAACGTACGCCTCGAATAACGGACACTGCGAATAACAGACTTTCTGTTTAGCCGTTACGTGACTCGAGCAACGGACTGGTTGCAGACAACGGACTTTCCGTTCGGCAGTTACGTGAGGCGACCAATGGACTTTCTACAAACAAGTGCGAATGATGTTTCCACTCTTTTGCCGTTGCCAATGACAATATGTTATTTTTATAATATATTAGTATTATTAGAATATATTATCAGTATANATACAATTATTGGGTTTTAATTTTATTCGATATAATACAGAAACTTTGTCTTATTGTTACAAGATATTTTATGAAAATGAATTGAAAGTTTTATAAATATTTATTATCTTAATTTATTCAAGAAATTTTTTATCTGAAATTATTGCAAATTAATTTTATAATAATTAGAAAGAATATACTGTATTAATTCAAAGTTATAAAAACATTTTAATAATTAAACTTATTGTTAAAATAATATAAAATTTAAATTTAATAATTAATACAGTCTTATTGTTAAAATAAAATTAATTTAATTTAAAATTTAATAATTAATATAACCTTATTGTTAAAATAAAATTAAGATTTGTGATCTGAAATAATTCCATTCAACAAATTTTTATTTGCAATTTTAATTTATTCGATAGTAATTTATTCAAAAAATTAATTTTGTGATCTGAAATAATTCCATTCAACAAATTTTTATTTGAAATTTACTCATGAAATTAATTTTGTGATCAGTATGTGTCAAACCACTACTACTCATGTGAATGAGAAAGCTATTCTACTCACATTCAATTATGAGATGCCATATCATCTTTAAATAAATAAATGGTACACATCATTTTTTTTTATTTCTGGAGTGTGAATGCTGTTTACAATTTCCCAAAATAAAAAGTACAATTTTAATTATTATTTTATTTTCATCCATATAATTTTCTTTATTGTTCTTTTATCATTTGCACTTCATCACTATAGTTTCTGTTTTTGCAGAACATTTTCTCTTTTATTCTTTTGTTAAATCCATTATTTTAATTTACTAATTATTCTTTATATACCATTGAAAATGCAAAATAAACAATTTGTTATGTAACTTAACAATTATTTCTATATATTTAAGTTCTATTATAAAATTGCAAATTATTCATTTATTTAATTCAATATATATAATTATTGAATTATATTTTGTATAATTTTCATAATGAATTCTAATTAGATTTGTTAAAATGATTTATTAGTTTCTAAATTATAACTTACATATATTTATTAGCAGCACTTTCTTTTTCCACGTTGTGATCCTTTTTGCAATCTTATAGCATTGTCGTGAGACTGCTGCCGACGTTCTTTTTGATCTTTTTTAGCCTTTAAAACCATTCTTGTTATCGAATTGAACATCTAAATATTCAAATAAAAAAAAATTTAGTTTGATTTTTGTTAAAAAATAAAATATATATAATTATTTTTAAATAAAAGACATAACATTTAGTAAAACACAAGCACTTTCGATAAAACAATTTATCTTTGTCAGGTGATTGAACAAAATGCAGATTACAAATTTAAAACAATGGAGCATTTTTAGTCAGGTGGAAAAAGTAAAAATAGGAAGGAAGGGTAATCTTGCTCGAGAAAGGTTTTAATGTACACCAGTTCTTGTGATATGGGAAGCCCTCTATTTGATAGTTTACAACAATTATTTTTTCAACAACAAGTTTTATTGCCAGAAACAAGGTGCACCTACATGGATGCCACTGTCCACCATTCTAGCCAAGTTAATAACGAGGAGCTTAGAGCATAAAATATTCTTTTCCCACTTAGTATCAACTACCCTTGTCATGAGCCTTTGTTGATGATGTTCTTCTGGCTTAAGATGCTGCTATAGGCTTTTCTTGGCAAGCTGAATTCAATTTTTCCCTCAATCAACATTCCTCCAGAAGAGACCATTAATGGCTATATTACATTCCTAGACCTAAATATTAGAAGAGCAACTCAGACTTAGATTATAGCATCCATCATATATTCAACTTTTGTCAGTCATCACTCCAACAGATTCCATCCAGCCCTCTTCTTACAAAAATAGTGCCTTCTCTTTCTTGATCAGGACACTACAGTAAAACTTTGCTTAACAAGCGATAATTCGTTTCAGAATATTACTCATGATGCAAAACACTTGTTAAGCGAAACAGTTTTTCCCGTAGAAATTAATGTAAAATACGATAATGCATTCCATGCCAAAAAAAAATACTCAAATATTTTATGTATAACATTTATTCAAAGAAAATTACACAATATTCATTGTTAAGAAGCGTGAATTATCTTCATCTTTTCTTCTATGGAATGAACCAATCTGAAATGCAAATTCAATTTGCAGAAAAAAAAAATCACAGATAATATATCTGATGAAGATGCCAAATGACATGCCAAATTCTTGGGCTATGTAAAGACTATAATTAAATATTAGAAATTAATTAATTTGACTAGAGGTAGGCAGTTATGCTGCCATCTCATATTAAATTTAATAATTATAAATACAGTGGTGCCTCGTACAATGTACTTAATCCATTCCAGGTGCACGTCCGTTAAGTGAAACGTCCATTATACGAAATGCATTTTCCCATAGAAATACATGTTAAAACATATAATTCATTCCGCAACATAAAATAACCGCACTGTACCATAAAAAATGAAAATGGAGCAGACACCAATTATGCCGGGTAGTCAGATGTTGTGAGGAGGAGGTGGAAGAACACTTTCTATACACATTCATACAGATACAGACTTTTTACACATTGCAGCGGGTCTTTTTTTATTGTTTTTTAATCGGAGTCAGATTCAGGAGAGGCTACCGGAACTTGCAGGGTCAACTTCTCTTGTTCCATCCTTTGTTTTTTGCCCGCTGGCTTCTTGAAAAACATGACCAAGGTGGTCTGTTTCTCTTTCTTCTTTAACACCTGTCGGAAATGACGGACAAAGGTGTCATCGTAGAGATCATTGATCCTGTTGGCCTCAGCTCTGTTTGGATAATGAGTGTTGGTAAACTCCTGAACCTCTCCCCATTCGACAAGAAAGTTTTTGTCAACTTTCACTCCTGATGATTTCTTGCTTTGTTTCAATTGAAATCACCTTTCTGTTTTTTTAGAAGCCATGATGCATTATAAATGACTTAACTTGCCAGATTATATGATACGAATAATTCTTTATTAATTAAGATCACTAAACACTTCTACGAGCTACTCTCGCTCCGTTTGTTTTTTACAACCTCTTTTCGTCCCGCCACCTCGGCATCTACACAATTACATTTCGTTTATTTGAATCGTCAACATATACTGTATTACATTACATTTAATGTTTATTTAAATCATCAACATATATTACATTACATTTCTACTTCAGATATACTAATAATACATTCTAATAATACTAATATATCCTAAAAATAGCAGATTGTCATTGGCAACGGCAAATGAGTGGAAACATCATTCGCACTTGTTCGAAGAAAGTCTCACGTAACTGCCGAACGGAAAGTCCGTTGTTCGCAGCAAGTCCGTTGCTCGAGTCACGTAACGGTCAAACAGAAAGTCCGTTATTCGAGGCATACGTTATACGAGGCACCACTGTAATTAATTTTTAATTTAGACATTTCTAATATTTAATTTGGAATTTGTCATTAAATTTAGTATGAGATGGCATGTTTATTATATAACAGGCTATGATTGTTGATGTTTATATGTAATATGTGTGAACACAAGTTTGAAAAAATGTGTGATCATAAGCGACACTAAGATGCTAGCAGAACGAGTGCTAAACACAAACTGATGGAGCATGCGCACAATCCAAGATTTCCCCTCTCCTTGTCACTCGTTACGTGAAACATCACTCATTAAGCAAGTCAAATTTTTACAATTTATTTTTCTTGTTATGCAAAGTACTCATTATGTGAGGTGCTCGTTAACTCTTTTGCAATCATTTGTCTCGATATATCGCCAAGTAGTTTATTACTGAAACAAATCACTTGACGATTTATCATCAATCTGAGAATTTACGATTCTTATAAAACATTCCATCCATTCACAGATGGCACAACATTACTGTAGGTTATTCTGTACACTTGTTTCACATATTTACTACCAAATAACATTTTATTTTTATTTTATTTTATTTTAAGTATTTATAATTTTTTTGAAGCAAGAAATTTCTTTGTGTAAAAAAACTGTTTGAGCTTGTTTCAACCAAAATGTACAGAACAAAATGGCTGTTTGTGCAGGGTTACTCACAGAAATTAACTATATAATCAAAAAATTTTATCTATGATTAAGTTGTGTAAATTATAAATAATATTCAAACTGTCATGAAAATGACAGTTTGACAGTTTGAATATTATTTATAACATATTTTTCTGGGAGAAATTTTTTATGGTAGCAAAAAGAAACTTTATCACCGTAAACAATGAAAAGTAATATATATACAATTTCTTTGTATGTGTATGATAATTGCTTGATTTTTCACGAATTTTTTAAATAATAAAAGTGAAATTACCTTGAATGACTAAAGTTGGCAGTGAGTATTTTGGAACAGTATAGTGAAAGCCTAATAAGTTTTAAAAGGGTTAAATACTTCATTGCTGGAAATACTAAATTGTTTGATTATTCCATAACAGTATTCTATAAGTACATCAAAGGATCAAACACTAACAATATGTGGTTATTCTGTGTATAAATGTACTTTCTAAGTTAGTTTTTTAACTTTACACTTATGACAAACCTTGGGAACATAACCTGTTCATAAGTGCTTGTATTCAATTATTTTAAATCTGCATTCCATTCCTATTGTCTGATGAAGATAGGTTCTTTTATCAGAAGCTCCTAAGTTTTACCAAATATTATGTCTTATTTTTAATAAATAACACCACAAAACAGTTGATTTTTTGTTTTATTACTCATTTGAGTGGTGTTTGTCATAATAACAGATGATTTTTAAATATGTCTATATACTCTTTATTATGTAAATGTATGATATGTCTATAGGATATATCGTATTAATGAGACTTATTATACTGCTGTCCAAATTTAAGAAACCTATTCAGAAAAAGCAATCTTTATTTTTCACCTGTTTCATCTGTACACACTACACGCTATGTTTGTGTTTCAGACCTGTTGGTCCCTCATCACCATGTTTATAGCAAATAATTGCTAAAAAACAAGATTTATAAAAATTACTACAATGTTATAATTTTTCCAACAGTAAAACAAATAAAATAATTTACAGTTTTTTGATGGTTAACTACATCAAAATTTAAAAATATTAACGGAATAATTTGTATCATCTTTCCAAAAACCTATATACAATAACAATAAATATAAGTTACATTATTAAAAGATGGTTTAAACATTTTTTAAAACTTATGTATCGCACTCCTACTTTAGTAATACAATAATTGTACGAGCAAAATTGTTTCTCTTATAAATATCTCCCCTTTCACTGATGCTGTTCCGCAATTGGTGGATTTCTCTGCCCAAATTATTGTTGATTCTGTTGTTTTGTCTTGTTATGTAAATATGTTCATATAATTGTCTTTTAAAATTATTTCTTTCTTTTTTCTTGATTTTAACAGTATTTAAATCTTAGTATCACAAATTAGTATCACAAATCAATTATTGTATTTATTCAGACACTTGACAAATCTCATCATTAAATTTTATTCAGTTGAATAAAATTTAATAATGAGATTTTGGAAGAGTTAAAACATTTTTCCGGTATTATAAGATAATACCGGAAAAATGGACCGAAAAAAACAATTTGATAAAGAAAAATATTTTGTAAAATTAATGTATATACCAAAATTATTTGAAAGAGTTAAAAAAGTAATAGCTAATAAAATAAATTTAAAGGTAATTATGTAAATTCGGCAGTAGCAGAACACTGCAATACAACAAGATGTAAAATAGATTTAAATACTGGTATTTTTGAAACTGTGCCAGTAATTTTTAGTAATTCAAACACAAATCAATTATTGTATTTATTCAGACACTTGGCAAATCTCATCATTAAATTTTATTCAACTGAATAAAATTTAATGATGAGATTTGTCAAGTGTCTGAATAAATACAATAATTGATTTGTGATACTAATTTGTGATACTAAGATTTAAATACTGTTAAAATCAAGAAAAAAGAAAGAAATAATTTTAAAAGACAATTATATGAACATATTTACATAACAAGACAAAACAACAGAATCAACAATAATTTGGGCAGAGAAATCCACCAATTGCGGAACAGCATCAGTGAAAGGGGAGATATTTATAAGAGAAACAATTTTGCTCGTACAATTATTGTATTACTAAAGTAGGAGTGCGATACATAAGTTTTAAAAAATGTTTAAACCATCTTTTAATAATGTAACTTATATTTATTGTTATTGTATATAGGTTTTTGGAAAGATGATACAAATTATTCCGTTAATATTTTTAAATTTTGATGTAGTTAAATTTGGACAGCAGTATAATAAGTCCCACTAATATGATATATCCTAGCAGACATTTACATAATAAATTGTATAATAAGGACACAAAGGCACATGAATTAATGTCTATATATTCATTTATCAAATTAATTGAAAACAAAATAACAAAACATAAGATTATTTTAAAGCTAGAATTATGTTAACTTTAATTTTATTTGTTAATTAAATTATGATATTTGACCTAAAAATAGGTAATTAAACCTAAAAGTAATCTAGGTTTTATATATGTTTTGCTATTAAAGTAGGCAATGGTTTATTTCATACAGTTAGGCCCCCTTGATATAATAAGTTTGCACTTCACGCCGACATATACTATTATTAGAACACTTATGTGCAGTGGCGTTACAGGAGTGGAGTTCCGGTTACAGAAATTTATCCGACTTTTGGAGAAAGGTTTTATCCACTAGAAGTTTCAGTAGTGTAAAACTACCATCTTCAGGTGGTACATAGAATTCGATAGTTTAAGCTTTCCAAACGATATTCCGACAGTTTTTTAAGTTTCAATATCGAATATTTCGAACGATATTTCCGACAGTTCAGGTGATTATGGTTTTTGAATATTATTTAAAGGTTCTTATGTCATAGTGCGTAGAAATGATGATAAATAAATATTAAAGTGAGAAATGTCTGTAAAAGAGCATAGTTCATGCATTTATGCGCACCAAGGCAAAATTAGCATGCGAGCAACGAAGGAGTATTTTTATCTTGGGTTGAGTTGTTTGAAAGCCGTTATCCAAATTTGTGGGAGCTCGAAAGTTGGGGAGTTGCATGGTATGGTAGTAGAAATGTAGTGTGTCTCCAAAATAAATAGCTCATTTTGTTCGTTGCAGCATTTTAGTAATTTTATTTCGTTCCATAGAGGCTGGTAGTTGTGGTTGAGTACTTTCTTTGCTAATTCTGTAACTGGCCTGTTATTTTTGATGTCTTCTTGATGTTCATGGATGCGTGAACTTAATTTTCTAGCAGTAGCTCCTACATAACTAATCTCTTCTCCAGTTAGTGTGTGCTTTAGCAGGATTTACTAGATACCGAATTTTTCATTCAAATGGTACTTATCCCTATCATTACATAACAGTCTTCTTAGATTTGGTTGCAGTGTAATTGGTAGAATATAACCATTACTTCTANGCTCACGAAAGAAACAGAGATAAATATAATAGTCAACATCAAACTCCAAACTTCAAAGTAGGAGATCAAATATTACTACAAACCTTCTTCCATCCCGACCAAGGAAAACTTGCTCCAAAGTATCATGGACCTTTCACCATATTAAAAATAGTATCTCCTTGTAACGTAGAAATAGACAGACCTGTCCAATCATTAAATAAATTAACCGATATTGTAAATGTAGATAAAATTATACCGTATTATAATCCAACCAACTTTAGAGTTCAAGCCGATAAATTGTATAACACCCAGCCCAACCTCCCTGAGGCTCCATGATGTCGCCTTTTCAGGAGGGGGGCATTTAACATATTTAAAATTTTGTAAATTTTGTATATATTTTCTGTATTTTACTTTGTTAATCTCGTCCCTTTTGGAATGAGGTTAACAGCACCAATAAAATAAGGGGAGTTCGAGTGAGGACCCGAAAGTGAACGGACGTGTTATTTTATGGTCTCCAATTTTCTTTGTCTTGTTCAACCTACACTCGACCTTATGACTACGACTGCAAAATAATACGACATATATAATATATATTATATATATATTTTTTTCTATCGAACGTCATACATGGCAACACTTAAGATACCAGCGCATAAGAAAAAATAAAAAGGGGGTGGAAGGTAAAAAAAAGGGAGGAAACAGCTAAAAATTTTTTACAGTTGTGTTGTATCGAAATATGCCTAAAAGAGAAGATTTTAGAATATTTTAACCTTTTAATTTATAATATATACTAGTTTTACAAAGATTAAAGCAGATTTTACATGTTTTTAAATTATACAAAGTGTAACCAAAAGGTACTACGTCTATATATCGTTTATGTACTCATTGTTTTATGTAAATTCTCTACTGTAATAAGTTAAAATATATATATTGTATTTTAGTTGACTGAAGAGGGGCAAAGCCCGAAACGAGTACAAAGCGATGTACCGTATCGACTCAACTAATAAAAGAATTTGATGGAAAACTTGCCATGTGTCTTTGGAATAAAACACAATACTAATGTTTACTACGCCACCAATGTTCTATATTTCTCATGACCAGTTCAGCTAGAATAGGAGATAATGGGAAGCCCATTGGTAACCCTTGTGTTTGTTTATATATTTTTCCATTAAATTGGAAATAATTATTTTGATAATAAGGCAAAGAGCTTCACGTAGGTGTAAAATGTGTGATGCTGGGTAACTAGAATTGAGGAATAGGATATTTGCCAGCATGATGGCCTCGAAATACAGAACAGAAGGATATAAAGAAATGACATCTATTTTGTAAAATCGGTAGGAACTAGAGGGGAGGTTTCCTAATTTTTGTAAGATGGTACATTTGGCTTCGGTGGAGGCTGTTGTTACAAGCTCAGAAAAATCACAACGGATCACGTGATATGAGCCACAGTTCTGCATACAGAGTTAAATGTCCTTGAAAGCAGCTGTTTGTCGATGTTGGTGTGTTATTCCCTTGAAAGTTTCAGGGGAAGACTGGTTTCTAGACAGATGTGCATCAGTTACTGTAAACACTCAAATATATCACTAAATTTTCGATAGTTTATACTCTTTCAATAAATGGGGACCGCAAAAATGATCTATTGGGTGTATATTTTTAACAACATAGTGAAGGAAAGTTATTTTTTGTGACTTTTACTGTCCACAAAACTGATTGAAAAAATTTTAGCCATAACAATGCCGAATGAAAAGAAAGGACCATCGTTAAAAAGGAAATTTATAACTCTTCAAACAAAGATAAAAATTTTGGATCAAATTAAAAATCAAGAGCGGATAGCCAATATTGGTAGTCATTTTAATTTAAATGAGTCGACTACTTGGTCGATTAACCAACCAGGAGAAAAGATTAGAAATTTGGTTGCATCTGAATCATCTATTATTGTGAAAAATGTTGCTCATCTGAGAGCACCTATAATGGAAAAAATGGAACCAGCACTAATATTATGGGTAGAAGATACAAACAAGAAACGGTTGCCTTTAAGTAAAACTGCACTTAAACACAAAGCCTTAAAAATATTTGATTATTTAAAACAAATGGGACAGTTGTCAGCTGATGAAACCAGTGTTAAATTCGTGGCTAGCAATGGCTGGTTTGAAAAATTCAAGATATTTGTATTTTCAAGATATAGCGGTATTTTCAAGGAACGTTGTAAGAGGACTACCTGTATTTGTAACACAACACTTTTTAATTTGCCATTTTTAAATTCCAAGCTTTGTTGTTTTAATTTAATTTATATACAGTAATACCCCGACTTACGCGAACCCGGAGTTACGCGATTTTCAAATCTCGTCGATTCGTCTTTTGTTTGAGCGCCATGCAACTCTTGATTATTCACTCCCCCCACACTATTGTTCAGCTGACGTGTTTGGACGTGTTGCGCGGAATCAACGCATAGCTACAATTTATTTTGTGTAATTTATTTCTGTTTGTTATATCTACGGAGATTTGAGAGACTCTGTGTGGTGATTTCTTGTAACCGTGAACGAACCAAAAGGCGAGATAAGATTAACGAGAACATTTATTAGCTTACATACATCCGACTTGGATTTTACACAAAAGGCATCTGCAATCATGAACAATTGACAAAAAAAGTATACATTTATCAGATAATAAACAAAGACTCATTTTGTAAATAATTTATCTTTGTATATACAACTGACAAGATTACCTTTCAAATTATAAACAGACTCAATCCCAAGCGGTCATTTGATCGTCGGACATACAAAAGAAATGAATAGATGGCGCCTAACTTAAGCGCGGTTTACAATAATGAATATGATTAATCTTAACACTCTACTATGTCATCCAAATGAAGTAGAACTGATTCTTCTGCATCAAACAAGAAAAGAAAAACTTTATCTTTGGAATGTAAAGTTAACATTATTAAAGACTTCGATATAAAAATGAAAATTTGTGAATTGGCAAAGAAGTTTGATCTACCGGAATCGACGGTCAGAACAATTATAAAAGGTAAAGAAAAAATTCTCGAAGCTGTAAAAAATGCTTAATCTTTAAATTCAAGCATCATTGGTAAACGTTACAATATTATCGCTGAGATGGAAACAATGTTAAAATTATGGTGTGATAATCAAGTAATTGTGAAAAATTGTATAATAATATAATATGTTATACATATGTATTATCTAAGATTTTATTAAACATTTTTTTCTAAATTATTGCTTTTTTTAGTCTCCGGCCCCAATTAAAAATTACTTGTATGTATTTATATGTGAAATTATACCCCGACTTACGCAAATTCAACTTACGCGGTTATCGCTCGGTCCCACCTATCGCGTAAGTCCGGGGTATGACTGTATTAATAAAAAGTTAATTATAATTTTTATACAGTTAAAATTGAAAACTGTGAGAAACTTACTTCTTCGACATTTATATTTTCCTTGGCACTTGTTTCGAATAACTGAATACCCATCTGATCGGCAAATCGTTGAGCATCTTCTGTTAAAACAACTTTTCTATCTGGATCATCATTTTTATTACCAACTAAATAAAATCATAAAAAATGTTTATCATCAATAATTCATAAAATTCATAAACTACTTGTTCCTACAGAATATACACTTCAAACATATCATTCTGAAACTTTTGGTCTAATAAATTAAACTTCATAAATACAGTAGTACCTCGATTATCCGGACTAATTGGGGATGAAGGTAGTCCGGATAACGAAAAATCCGGATAATCGAAACAAATACTTTAATCTGTCCTTTAATAATAATACAACACGTTTTCTTTTCGATGACATATCGGTAATATTAAAAGTAAATACTGTATTTAAATCGTGATCAAATTTTCAAGAAACAAACGTTCATATTGAATTTGGACTACTACTGACCAACACTAACAGACTACCTATTGTTTAAAAGGCCCTCTGGTGGCACAAGAAGACAAATTTTATAAAATAAAAAAGCAGTTGAAACTGCATTTTCATGAATAAAAATTTGACAAACTATTTATCATTTTACGACGAGTAAAATTTTTTCGTCGCATTCACAGCTTCTAAGTAATGCGTAAACCTTCGAGGCGTGAGGCCCTTCGGACCGCGAGGCATAGGCGGTGGCCCACGTCATCTATGCCTTACACTGCCCTTGGTCATAGAAATGATGTAATTTGAATATAAATTATTTATAAATACGTATGTCATGTTATATTTTTATTACTACGTAAAATATATTTAAGAGTTTACGACCACTGTGCTGGGTGAGACGTTGTTGAAACAAAAAAAGTTATGCATTCCATCACGTACATAAACAGTGTCGTAATTCGCCAAGTGCAAATCAGCAAATTCGTAAAATTTTTGTTTATTTTAAACAATCCGGATAATCGAAAATCCAGATAATGGAGGTCCAGATAATGGAGGTTCTACTGTATTATGAAAAAAAATAATCCCGATTTCACATTCACAACAAAGTTTTCTATCAAAAACAGTTCCTAAACTTCCAACCAAGTCAGAAGAAATATATCTAGTCAATACTGAAAATTGATGGGAAGTGATAAATGGTACTTTGAATGCAGTTGTTGTTATGGAATTGCCGACAAAGATTTATGTCATTCTGTTGAAAATGACACATTGATGCACCAAAAACATTTCTCAGACAATGGATGTTTTACTGAGAAGATAAAATATCAATCAAAAGTACATATTATATAGATTATAAATGCTAAATAACTAGTTCAAAACCATTAGATACAGAGTTTGAATGTGCAGTCTATATCATGTCATTAGAGTTTAAACTTAATTTGTTTTCAAATGTATAGTTATAATTATGATTTTATTTAGCTTGGTTAAAGTATTGTATGAAAATTTATTAAAAAAAAGCATCTATGAAGAGTATGAAGAGTATTAAGAGAGCCATCTGTTTTCCCAATTCAAAATTCATTACATAGCAAATGTGATTTGAATTGAGAAGACTGACACAAATTTGGAAAGATATTAAAGCCTATTCTCCCACATTACTGCTTATATATTTATAATAATACAATAAGTAAGTATTTCTGAATGGTTACTAGCTATTCTCTTAACATTGTTGTACATTTTTTTAACTGATATATTATTTGAACAAGATATATTCTCCTACACTAAAGACACTACTGTTTTTTATAAATTAATTCATCCATTATTAAAAATGTTCTTTTTGATTTACAACACAAATACAGAATTCTAATTTTGCTTGTATTTTGATTATTTTAATTTCAATTGCAACATGTCACAACATAATGCAATAACAAACTATACCAGAACTTTTCTGTGAAAACAAGCCAAATAACTAAGAGCTGCAGGATAAGTAAATAAAAAATATTTTTAAATACACAAATTATAGTTAGTGATAGCTATGTTTTAATGTGTAAATGTAATGTTACACTGAGTCAGGGTACTGTTACAGTGTACATGTACAGTAATCTGTTTTAAGGAAAAACAAAAGATCATCATCATTCAGCATACTGTAATTATAACGAGAATCTTAAATGAAACACATAAAATGATCCTTTCCGGAATTGCAGTACAGCATCACAATTACAAATGTAATGCTGGGCTGTAATAATTATTTTTTCATTAATACTAGTTTTTCTTTTTAATATTCCTCTTTGAATTAATTCTCATCTTCATTCTATTTACTACTTGCATGTTTTTACTGATCTGTTTCATGTGATAAATTGTTGTAGTACAGACTTGTTTACTACTATTTTGCTTAAAATTAAATCTGGTAAAGTTGGCCAAACTTGCAAGCTGCACTACTCTCGCATTCACTTTGGCATACCTTCTCTCTCAACAATTATGTCTGCTTCCATTAAGTCACTGTCACACATCAGCTTGCTGTTAACATTCTGTATAGTGGAGAAGATTGACATTGAGAGCTGTAACAGCATTCTCAAAGAATGACTAAACTATACAGATCATAGAAATATTTTTCTTCCATTAATTGCAAGAAAAAAATTATTATACTAATAAAATAACTTTGAATAATCTAATATAAACTGTGTAGGAAAAATAACAGATGATAATTTCTTTTCCAAAATGCTTATCATCCATTTCTTCAGCAGTGGTTTCTTTCCTAAATGGTTCTCTAAGGGGTGGTAAATAAATTTAGGGGTGAAAAGAAGCAAGGGGTGGCAGAGGCATTGGAGGCAGGACTGAACAATGACCAGGTGAGGATTTGAGTCACTGACAACCATTTCCTTTCCTTCGTTAAAATGGATAAGAAGAAACATTGCATTTAATTGTTACTAAATGTTGACAACAATCTATGGTAAGGATCAAAGTGCGAGATTTGTAGAAAAGTTTTTCTAAGAATATTTCCAATCCTTTCTCACAAAAAAATGGATTGTTGAGGTGTTGGATAAAATTTATGGAAGCAGCTCAAAAAAGTTTGGGAATCACTGATCTAACTTTGAAGCATTTATTAGCAATGACAACTAATCAATCTGTAATCAATATCATAAAATACCATTGTTACAAAAAACTATAAAAAAATCATTTTCTTGTAGCTAGAGGCCAGTTTCCACACTTCCACATCAACTCTTAATCAGATTTAGAATGATTGTAAGAAATTAATTCATTGTTAATAATACTAATATAAGAGAATGATTGAAAACATTTAAAATTTGCAAAAAATAAAAATTCAATATTTGAAGATTAAAAACAGGTCATAAAATTAAGAGTACTAGAACAATAAATAGTTGTAATTTGCTTCTTAGTCAGTGTTTTGAAAGCATTAAATGTATAAATGAAAAATCATAAATTTGCCAGTCCTTCTACAGATTTATTTTGGATAAAAGTTTTCAACAATTATGAAATTAATTAGAGCATTCACAAAGGTACATAACTTCCTAGCAAAGATTAAATGGATTTTTGCAAATGAAAAACTGAATCAATTTGTTTTGAATAGTTTTTTGGGAAGAAAAAAAAATTTCATAAAAAATTCTAAAACATCTTTTGTATTAATATTGACTTCTCACAGTTTAATTCATTAATTCAAATATAAGATGTGTTAAAAAATTCTGGGAATAAATCAAAAATTCAAAGTATTTTAGGATGTAAAGAAACTTATTAAATATTTTTCAAAATAATCAACCAACTTTTTATAATTCTGGAAAAATTAAAAGATTTAAACAATTCATAATTTCAGTTGACATAGTTATTCAAATTACAGTAGAGCATTATCTGAAACAATTTGAACAATTCAGAACTGGGGTTGTTCAAATAACTGATTTTTCAAATAATAATCATTTACAAAAAAATATATTAAACACAAAACTATACTGTATATAATTTGTATCACATATCTTACAAATACATACCTTACATAATGTAATACATTAAACTAGGCCTACAGTTCAGTTTGGCAGGGAGGGGAAGAGTGCTGCAGTGCCACAGCCCTAGTGAAAATTTGAATTTGCCAACTGGAACGCTTTCAGTTAACCAATGTTTCGGTTGATCAGTATTCAGATAATCAATGCTCTACTGTACTTAAATTTTTATTTTGTAGCTTTATTTTAAAATTTTTTGAAACAGAAAAATTCAAATTATAATCCTTAAGTTATACAACATTTACAGATTGACTTATTCAAATAGAAAAAGAAAAAATCTGAATTAATTTTGAATAAATTCTTTACATAAACATATAAATAATTGTTCAAACCTAAAATCCTATTGACTACATCACAGTTTTGTTCTATTTCATGTAACCATCTCTTCACATTAGCAAATGATTCTCCATTGCAAACATCATAAACGACAATTACACCATGAGTTCCTCTGTAATATCTGAAATATAAGATATTTGTTTTTATACATTTTAAAATTTCTTATCTTTCCATTAGTTTTATTATTATTTACATTATATTATTTATATACATAATAATTAACACATCACTAAACCAACCTGTACAGACTGTTTTTACTGTACTAAGTTTTTATTTTTCCACAAATGCTTACATTGGCTGTGTAACATCATATATTAATTAATGTTACATCACTGCTTGATTAGTATGTGATTATATCTTAAATATGAATTAAGAAAAATACTAATATCAGTGCACAACAAATTCGAGCAGCCCCCTTATATCACACCAGTCAACTCCTTTCAGTTGCCCAGATATGTAAATTGGCCATTGCTGCTCCTATCTGCAGGGTGTATTTGGACCCTTTGTCACCTTCACTTATACACAAAGAATTGAGTCAGGTTGTTACAGTGGTACACAATGCTGGTTATACAACATCCAAGTTCAAGTATGTCAATAATCTTGTTCGCAGCTCTCTTTTCCCACCAACTGCTTTGAGATCCGATGACAAAAAGAAAAGCCAAGTGTTTGCTCAACCCATCCATTCCATATTTGGGGGCTGTTAAGAATCATATCGTATGCACTTTTAAGGGATATGACATTGTACTTCCTATAAAACCACAAATTTCCCTGCACAGATTGTTATGTAATGATAGGGATGGTTTTACCTTTTTGGAGAAATCAGGGATCTACATGGTCTCTTTACATCAGACACAAACAGGTGCAAAAATATTTTATATCAGGCCACAACTAGAAAATTGGCTTACCGTTTCCATAAATAAGGCTGTTTATGGATGAGTGAATGATTTGTTACTGAAGCAATTATTTTATGAATTACAGATTATCTTTTAAATACAGTAGTACCTCAGGATACGAAATTAATCCGTTCCGAAACTCAGATTGTATCATGAAAATGTCATAAGGTGAATCATTTTTCCCCATATGATTACATGTAAAACCAAATAATCCATTCCAACATAAAAAACACACTCAAATTAAAGCTAAATAGTACATTGAAAAAAAATAACTTTAGTAAGGAAAACACTGAAAAATGCATTTTGTAGTTGTAAATGTATAAATAACGATAACAGAATAATAATTGATTAAAAAAATGCAGTTTCATTTGCACTTTACCTCTGAGTATAGATGACGGTGGAGGTGTAAACTGGTGGTGGAAGAGAGGGAGAAGGGAAATGATACTAAAACTTAACTTACATAACATAATGTAACAATAACTTAAAAATAACTTAAACTAATTTTTTAATCTTTTCTGTTTCATATTTTTTTTTTTTATTCACTGCTTTTTTGCTTTTTTTCCTTCACTTCCACCAGCACTTTCACTGGATAGAGGTCGCTTGGTAAAATATCTATCCAAAGAGGTTTGGCTTTGCCTACTTTTTAAAATATTTCTAAAACGACTTAGGCAAATGTCATTACTCCAAGCAGCAATATGGCCAGTGTAAACCTTTTCAGGATGTTTCTTTTCAATAAAATCAGTCACTTTCCGATAATACCTTGAGATTTCCTTTATCAAGTGAGATCCTTCCACGATGATGCAAACATGCAGACTGAGACCAATGAACAGAAGTGAATAAAAAATGGCGTTGCAAACTAATATAACGTCGTATGGTGAGTTTTTGTTCGTACTGTGGAGCAAAATTATGTTCAAATTTCATGTTGTATTCCTGAAAATTTTGTATGCTGTAATGTTCGTATCATGAGGTACTACTGTATATATATACTTGTCTGTAGGCTCTTTTCTAACTTCCTTTACTTTATATATAACATATAATGGTTGTCTAAAGTTTGTGATCAATACTTTTCTTAATACTTTGCTGCATTATTGTATTATTGTTTTGTATGCCTTCACATAATAATGCCTTCGTATCTACTGTAAATGCATATTTACTGTATAATTGTATGACATAATTCTTTATTCAATAATTACAAACAACACTTTAAAATAAAAGCAAAGAAATGCTACTGCACTTGCCAGACAATGGAAATCCCATTTGAAATTTATAACAATAAAATATCAATTGTAAAAATCATATCAAAAATATAAAATTAGTAATTATTACATAATTTTTTTGAACATATGATTTTATACTATGTTTTCTTCCATGGAAACTTTCTTCAGAATGGTAATCAATGGCTCCTGGACCAGGGGAGATCCAGGATCAAATCAAGGTCAGAAATCTTGAGAATTTTTCAATGGTGTCTAATCTGGACATGTACCTTTGCTTTTTTTGTACTCATCAGAAGTTTGGCCAGGCCCACAATGGGCCTCGCCAAACTCATGATGCATATGAAAAATAAGCGCTCTTAGTCCCTGTACGGCAGAAAGAGTTAAAAACTAATCAAAAATCAAAAACTTTATCTAAAATTTCCGATTTATCTTATTGAAGTTCATTTATATTTACAGAATGTAAACGTTGGCTTAATTCAGAGACCAAAAACATTCATGAAGTCATTAAATGTTTTACTGGAATTTACTAAACCATAAGGTTGTCTTCTTCTATTGAGTAATTATTGTTTGATCAATCCATTATACTATTGCAATGTTTTTATTTTGTGTTCTTTTACATATACAGTAGAGCATCGATTATCCAACCCCCGATTAACCGTCACATCGGTTAACCGACCGTTCTAGTCGGCAGGTTTCAAATGTCTGCTATTGATATGGTGCTACAATATTTGGCTATGTCTTGGCTACTTTGAAATTATTTTTGTTAAATTTTTGCGTGTTTTAGCTGACAACAATGGCTTGACCATGAAAGGGAGGCCAGTATTTAAACGATACCTAATTTTCTATTTATGATTGGTTGTTTGTTTTGTGAGCAATAAAACAATTTAAAAATAATTTTTAGTGATAGAATAGCGACAATTATTATTTTAAAAAAAAAAAAAATTGCTAGGCTTAACATCGATGAAAATTCAATGCAAAGTAGGTTAATAGCGATATACTAATATACTATACTAATAATGTATTTTTTTCATTCTTTTTGGTTATCCGATTTTTTCAGTTATCCGACCAACCCGAGTCCCCAATTGAGTCAGATNAATTTAAAAATAATTTTTAGTGATAGAATAGCGACAATTATTATTTTAAAAAAAAAAAAAATTGCTAGGCTTAACATCGATGAAAATTCAATGCAAAGTAGGTTAATAGCGATATACTAATATACTATACTAATAATGTATTTTTTTCATTCTTTTTGGTTATCCGATTTTTTCAGTTATCCGACCAACCCGAGTCCCCAATTGAGTCAGATAATCGATGCTCTACTGTACATATACATCTTTTAATTTTAAGAAAAACATTCAATGTTTCCAATGACTTACGTAGAAGTTATAGTTCGAAATCTTTCTTGCCCGGCGGTATCCCAAATTTGTAATTTTACTCTTTCTCCATCTATCTGCACTGTGCGTATCTTAAAATCGACACCTATCGTTGTAATGTAGTTACCTGTTTAAAAAAATAAACAACATTATATTTTTATTCAAACAACATATTATTATTAAATATAACACCAATAAAATTTGAAGGACATTTCATTTAAAATTTTATATATGAAGGAATATTCTTATAATAACAAATTGCTATTTTTTGAATTATTAGAAGAATTTATAACTTCAAAACAAATAAATTTATTTATTAGCTTTGTATTTATTGCTATTTTGGAATTAATTTTAGTTAAAAGTTCCTCATTATGTGTTGCCAGTACACTGAAGAGCAATTGAATTAGGGATAGCTGGCATTATGCAAATTTTGAGTTCTGCATAAGCGTGAAAGTGATTTACAGATGAGGTAAGCAGCAGTTTGACAAGATAAGGAGTGCTGCTAACAGTATCAGTAATAGTCAGAAGCAAAATGGGTAAGAGTAAAGATCTAAGCACATTTAATCATGGACAAATCGTCGGGGCCCGATGAATGGGTACCAGGATATCCTTGACGACCATCTGCTCCTGTTTGTTCGTTCTTGACAGCCCACTACAGAGATTGTCTTTCAACAAGACAATGTACCATGCCATCACTCCTGAATTGTATCGGAATGGTTGGATGAACATTCCACAGACTTGCACANGTCACTCCATTTCAAAAGTAGTGGAAACACTGGGATTTTCACACACCACTGTTTTGAGAGTGTACCACGAGTACATTGATTCTGGTAAAACCATAGCTGCCAGGGTCAACTGCTACGGACAACAGCATGTGGATGAGCGAGGTCGTCAACAGCTAGCCCGCATTGTAACAGTAGATAGACAGGCCACAGTGCAACGGATTACCTGTCGATTTAATGCTGGTGCATAGCAAGATGTAAGCTGTCACACCATACAAAATCTCCTTTCAATGGGATACAGGAGTCATCATCCTACAAGAGTCCCCCTGCTGACTGCACAAAACAGGGCGCAACAATTAGCATGGGTGTGGGAACATCGCCAATGGATTGTCAAGATGTGGAAAAATGTTACCTGGAGTGATGAGTCGAGATTCACTTTGGTACATGTCGATGGCAGAGTATGTGTATGCCGTAAATCACATAAAGCGATGAATCCTTCCTGCCAGCAGTGGACTCTTCAAGCTGACGGAGGTGGCATTCTTGTGTGGGGACTGTTCACATGGACTGAAATGAGACCCCTGGTACGTGTGACAGGTGAACGTTACCAGGATATCCTTGACGACCATCTGCTCCCGTTTGTTCGTTCTCGACTGCCCACTATAGAGATTGTCTTTCAACAAGACAATGCACCGTGCCATTGCTCCCAAATTGTATCGGAATGGTTGGATGAACATTCCACAGACCTGCACGTGCTTTCCTGGCCATCATGGTCACCTGACTTCAATCCAATCGAGCACATCTGGGATGCAATTGAGAGAGATGTTCGAGGCTCCGACCACCTTACATCTAATCTTCGTGATTTATGGGAGATTATTCAGGACTCATGGATATGTATGGTTTCCCAGTGTCTTGTGGAGTCCATGCCAAGACAAACTGCAGCCGTCATCAAGGCAAAAGGTGGTGCTACACGCTACTAGACAGGTATCCCTAATTCAATTGCTCTTCAGTGTATATCTAATTGTGTTTAAAGCTATGAGATACACATTTTAATATGTCACAAACATAATAAGATAATTATTTTTTACGTAAATATAATACATCTTCTTATCAGATTAATTCAGATTCTCTATCCTATAGAGAGTAAAAATTAGACCAAAACCACTCATCAATATTATAAAATATGCTAATAATAAAATTTTTAATATTTATTTATTTAATCAGTTGATTTCTTACATTTATCTTAGTAGCTATAACTTGAATTTTGTCCAGATTCCAATTAATCTAAAGATGCTTTTCTTGAATAATAAAAGCATACGTTTTACGTTAATTTTTGAGTTATTTAGATATTAATCTCTCTCTCAAACCATTAATAAAACTATACTATTAATGAGTGTAAGCATTTAAAAGTTGTTTGTATTCAAGTCAAATACATGTTCTGGAATTTCTAAACAGTGAAATCAAAGTAATAACAATGAAAATATTGTTTTTATTTTTTTGTTTTGTTAGGAAGTTGTAAATGTAACCTTTAAACTTGGGATTGTCATGCCCTCTACTCTACGGTCCATGCCACGATCTAACTTGTGTGAACCCCACTAAGTGGTACGTGGTTTCTCATTCTTTCTATAGAATAAACATGCGTTGTGTTCTTACCTCCATTTTGTATCTATTTCTTCATGTTACCTTCAACACGACCCTACATCGATTCGCATCCTTACATAGTAGCAGAGCGTGGTTAGGTTTAATGATCGAGGTATACCATAGGAAGAGGATCTAACTGGAGAATCAAGTAAGTGATATATTCCTGCTCGCTAACAAAAGACATAACCCGTTTGATTGACGCCATGAATAGTGTGGAGACTCAATATGTAGACAAACTCAATGATGATAACTACGAATTGTGGAAGTTACAGATGCATAGCATACTTATTTGTAATGAACTTTGGCCGTATGTAAATGGATCCATAGAAAAACCAAATGCATTTGATTTTTTTCTAAACAAAAGACGAAAAGGCTCTAGCATTAATTTTACTAGGCATTAAGCAGAACCAGTTGAGCCACATAAAGAGAGCAGAAACTTCCAAAGAAGCACGGGATGAGTTGGAAAGGATAAATAAATCGAAAGGACCAATTATAAAAGCAGTACTATACAGACAACTTTATCAGAACAATTTAAGGGAACTAAGCAATCAATGTCGAGACATGTAACTGAATTTATGGAAAAAGCTGAACAATTGGAAAAAGCGGGTATCCCAATTCCAGGTGAGTTACTATCTATAATGTTATTAAATTCATTGTCCGACGAATACAAAACATTTTGAATTGCCATTGAGTCCAGAGACAATATACCGAAGCCTGAATCATTAATAATAAAACTAATTGAAGAAGAAATAAGATGACAAGAGAAGAAGGAGTTTGCAGTTGAACAGATTGCACTATACACAGGATCGAAACAAAAGAAAACTCCTTCCCAACAAAATTACCCAAAAGGAAATCTTCCTTCACAATTCACAGGGACATGTTACATTTGTGGTAAACCAGGCAGCTGAATGTAGAAATAATAATATATATTCGCAAAGAAACAGTACATGCAAAAAGAATGATGCTATGGCAGTCACAGTACAAACAGCCCAAACTCTAAACTCAACAGACTGGTGTCTTGATAGAGGAACAACTGCACATATGTGTAACGACTGTATGAAATTTATAGAGATAAATCAAGATCTCCACAAAAAAATACAAACTGCAGGAAAAGATGCATTAAAATTCATTAGAACTAGATCAATTAATATGAACGTGAATGTCAACAACACCAAAATTACAATTAAGCTAAAAGATGTCATGGCCATCCCACATTTGAGAAATAATTTGATATCTGTCCCTAAAATAACAGAACATGGATAATCTGTCACATTCAAAAGAGAATCAACAACTGTTACTCACCAAGATGGTTCCATCGCCATGATAACAAAGAAAGGAGACCAACTATACATAGTACAGACGAAACCTGACGCAGCATTGAATGCAGAAGAAAGTGGAAGTGACAATCTTTTGAGATGGCATTAACGACTTGGTCATCTAAACCAGTGTTTCTTAACAGGGAAACCACGGCCCCATGGGGGTCCATAAGAAGTTTGCCGGGGGCCACCAAATTATGCAAAATTTCCTTCAGAATAAAAAGAAAATTGATGTATAACCGAATATCATATTGAAAAGTGAAATAAGAAAAATAGTTTTCATATTTAGTTTCTTTTATTTATTTCTTAGTTCTTCCTACATACAACTTTGTTAGTACAGAAGAAATAAATGCAAATATGCTACTTACACCACAGTATTTAGTTCTTTTCTTCCAAAGTAATTCTAAGAAACTATTAATGCTTGGGATTTTAAAAATAATTAGAAAAACAGTAGGCTTAGTAGTAGGCTTTGAAAATTTAAATGTTTTTGCAAAAGATATACAAAATCTTTACGACAAGTTGTGGGTGTTTTAGTTTTAGTTTAGTTTTAGCATTGACTTTGGATCAAATAGTAGTGCATTTCTTTCTTATACTGTGTGTTTAGCTTTAATTATTTATAATTAACCCATAAAAATGAGCAAAAGACAGAAAGAAACATTAGAAAATTTTTAATGTAAGTAATCGCAGACCAGGACCTTCAAAAAGAAAATATAGTGAAGAAAATACTAGTGAAAGTTCCGATGATGATACAGTAAAAAATGCAACGGAAAAAACCAGAAGTCCTAAAACTAAAGGTATAAAATTAAGTAACATTAAAATTAGAAAATACGATCATGATTATATCAAATATGGGTTCATAAAAATCAATTTATTATAAATAATTTAACAAATATAAATTATTATTAAAAAATGGGGGTAACAAAAAAATTATGAAATGTTTGGTGGGCCGCGAGTATAAAAACGTTAAGAACCACTGATCTAAACATCAATGACCTAAAGAAATTAGCAAACAAAAAAATGGTAGCCAGAATAACATTGGAACAAACCCAAGATAGAACTGATTGTGAGATATGCTACAAAGAAAAGATTCACCAATTACCCTTTAAGTCGTCCGACATGAGAGAGAGAAATATGCTGGGATTAATCCATTCTGACATATGTGGTCCGATGAGTGTGGAATTCCTAGGTGGTTCTAAGTATTTTGTGGCATTCATTGATGACAAGACATATTGCATTGAGTTAGCAATGCTTAGACACCAATCTGAAATACTTAACGCATTCAAACGCTACAAGGAAAGAGTTGAGAATGAAACTGATCAGAGAATCAAAAGGCTCTGTACCAATAACACAAAAGAATTCTTATCACAAGAATTTACCAGCTATCTTGAAGAAAAAGAAATAAGAAGGCAATTAACAGTCAAGAATACTCCTCAACAAAATGGGATAGCAGA